TTTTTCTCATATTTATTTTATTTTTAATTACTATATTTATCATTACACAATGTAATCATTTTTGGTGGCCTTTTACCAATTTCTTGCTAAACTCTCCCTCTCCTCCCAACCTCTGGCGGCCTCAGTTCCATTCTTTCCTTTTGAAAGTTCAACAAATTGTGGTTGTTGTATCTTTCTTTGTTTGTTTTATCCATCACTTATAAGTGAGGACATGTGGTGTTTCTCTTAACTGTCCCTGACTTATTTTACTGAACATAATTTTCTCTATGTTCATTCATGTTGCTGCAAATGGCTGAATTTCATTCCTTTTTATGGCAAAATAGTATTCCATTGTGTATATATACCACATTTTCCTTATCCTGTCATCTATCAGTGGACATTTAGGTTGGTTCCATATCTTGGATATTGTAAATAGAGCTGTGGTAAACGTTGGAGTACAGGTATCCCTTGGATGTGATGATTTCCATTCCTTTGGGTATACACCCAGCAGTGGGATGGCTGGGTTGTATGCAGTTCTATCTGTAGTTGTTTGAGAAGGCCTCCATACTGTCTTCCATATGCCTGTACCAATTTACAGTCCCACCAGCAGTGTGGTTCCCTTTCTCCCCATCCTCATCAGCATTTGTTATTCTCTGTTTTTTTGATACAGGCCAGTCTAACTGGTGTGACATGATACCTCAGTGTGGTTTTGATTTGCATTTCCTTGATGCCGAGTGATGTTGAGCATTTTTTCATGTGTCTGTTGGCTATTTGTATATCTTCCTTTGAGAAATGCTTATTCAGCTCCTTTGCACAATTTTTAGTTGGGTTACTTGTATTTTTTACTGTTAAGTTGTTTGAGTTCCTTGTATAGTCTGGATATTAATCCCTTGTCAGATGCATAGATTGCAAGTATTTCCTCCCACTCTGTATGTTGTCTTTTCGCTCTATTAACTGTTTCTTTTGCTGTGCAGAAGCTTTTTAGAATGATATAATTCCATTTGTTTATTTTTTCTTTTGTTGCTTGTGCTTTTGGGGTATAATTCATAACGTCTTTGCCCAGTCCTACTTCCTGAAGTGTTTTCTTTTATGAGTTTTATGGTTTTGGGTCTTTTATGTAAGTCTTTAATCCATTTTGAGTTGATTTTTGCATATGGTGAAAGGCACAGGTCTAGTTTCATTCTTCTGTATATAGATGTCCAGTTTTCCCAGCACCACTTATTGAGAGGCAGTCCTTTCCCCATTGTACGTTCTTGGTGCCTTTGTCAAATATCAGTTGGCTGTAAGTATGTGGGTTGATTTCTGGGTTTTCTGTTCCATTGGTCTGAATGTCTGTTTTTATGCCAACACTATACTGATTTGTTTACTATAGCTTTTTAGTATAATTTGAAGTCAGGTAGTATAATGCCTCTGGCTTTATTTTTATTGCTCAGGATTGTTTGGCTATTCAGGGTCTTTTGTTGTTCTATATGAATGTTAGCATTGTTTTTCTGTTTCTGTGAAGAATGTCATTTGTGTTTTGGGGGGGATTGCATCGAATGTGTAGATCACATTGGGTAGTATGGATATTTTCACAGTGTTAATTCTTCCAATCCAAGAGCATGGACTGTCTTTCCATGTTTTTGTGTGCTCTTTAATTTCCTTCAACAGTGATTTGGAGTTCTTATTGTAGCGCTCTTCCTTTGGTTATATTGGTATTAATTCCTCTTCAATGGTGTGGTAGAATTCATCAGTAAAGCCATCCAGTCCTGGGCTTTTCTTTGTTGGGAGACTGCCGATTGCTTCTTCAATCTTGTTGCTTGTTATTAGTCTGTTCAGGTTTTCTGTTTCTTCTTAGTTCAGTCTTGGTAGTTTGTATGTGTCCTAAAACTTATCCATTTCCTCCAGGGTTTTGAATTTGTTGGTGTATAGTTCTTTGTAATAGTCTCTAATGATTCTTTGTATTTCTGTGGTATTGTTTGTAATGTCCCGTTTTCATTTCTGATTTTTTGTTATCTGTTTCTTCTGTCTTCTTTAATTAGCTTAGCTAATAGTTTGTCTATTTTAAACATCTTAAAAAACCAACTTTTTGTTTCATTGATCTTTTGCATTGTTTTTTTGGTTTTCTATTTCATTTGGTTCTGCTCTGACCCTGAATATTTCTTTCCATCTACTAATTTTGAGATTGGATTGTTCTTGTTTTTTTAGTTCTTTGAGGTATAGCATTAGGTTGTTTATTTGAAATCTTTCTATTCTTTTGATGTAAGCATTCATTGCAATAAAATTCCCTCTTAGTACTTCTTTTGTGGTATCCCACAGGTATTATTATGATGTGTCTATTTTCATTAGTTTCAAGACGTTTTTTGATTTCTTGTTTAATTTCTTATTGGACCTTTAGGTCATTCAGGAACACGTTTAATTTCTATGTATTTGTACAGTTTCCAGAGTTTCATTTGTTATTGATTTTTAGTTTTAATTCACTGTGGTCTGAAAAGAGCCTAGAAATGATTTTAATTTTTTAAAATTTGTTGAGACTTGATTTGTAACCTAACATGTGGTCTATCTTGGAGAATGTTCCATGTGCTGATGAGAAGAATGTATATTCTGTGGTTGTTGCATGAAATGGTCTGTAGATATCTACCAGGTCCAATTGGTCTGAAGTATAGTTTAAATCCTGTGTTTCTGTTGATTTGTTGCCTAAGTGATCTGTCCAGTGCTGAGAGTGTGGCATTAAGGTCCCTTAGTATTATCATATTGGGGTCTATCTCTTTCTTTAGGTTTAGTAGTGTTTGCTTTATATATCTGGGTACGCTGATATTGGGTGCATGTATATTTAAGATTGTTATGTGTGCTTGCTGAATACATCCCTTTATCATTATGTAGTGGCCTTCTTTGTCTCATTTTATGGTTTCTGGTTTGAAATCTAATTTATCTGCTATAAGAATAGCTTTTCCTGTTTGTTTTTGGTATCCCTTTGCATGGTATATCATTTTCTATCCATTCGCCATTCATCTGTATCTGTCTTTACAGGTGAGGTGAGTCACTTGAAAACAGTATATAATTGGGTCCAACTGTTTAATCCAGTCAGTCAATCTGTGTCTTTTGAGTGGGGAATTTAATATAGTTACATTCAGGACTGTTATTGACAGATATTGTCTTACTCCTGGCATGTTATTGATTGTCATTTGGATGTTTTAAATATCCTTTGTTTCTTTCTTCCACTTTTATTATTTGTCTTTGCTGTTTTTTGTTTTTTTAAGGTGGTAAGATTTAGTTTCTCTTTCTCATTTGCATTTTTGTTCTACCAGTGGGTTTTGTTCTTTCTTGTGTATTAGTGATAGTAATTATTGTTTTTTGGATTCCATATTCAGGACTCTCTTGAGGATTTCATGCAGGGATGGTCATGTGGTGGTGAACTCCTGCAGTTTTTGTTTGTCTGGAAAGTATACTATTTCTCCCTTGTTTCTGAAGGATAGCCTTGCTGGGTATAGTATTCTTGGTTGGTGGTTTTCTTCTTATAGTATTTTGAATGTATCATCCCATTCTCTTCTGTTCTGTACAGTTTCTGTTGAGAAGTCTGCTATTAGTCTGATAGGGGTTCCCTTATAAGTGACTTGATGTTTTTTTCTCTTCCTGCTTTTAGGATTCTCTCTGTCTTTGAGCTTTGCCAATTTGTCTGTAATGTGTCTAAGAGAGAATCTTTTTGGATTGAATCTGTTTGGAGATCTTTGAGCTTCCTGGATCTGAAGGTCTGTGTCTCTCCCTATACCTGGGAATGTTTTTGTTACTATTTTGTTGCATAGATATTCAATGCCTTTTCCTTTCTCCTTCTCTTCTGGAACACCCGTGTTTGGATGTTTGTGCACTTAAGGCTGTCTGCTTGTTCTCTTAGATTTTCTTCAGTTTTTTAAATTCTTTTGCTTTTTTTTTAGTCTGCCTGTGTTATTTTGTAAAGACTGAGACTTGAAGATCAGAAATTCTTTTGTCTGCTTCTTGTCTGCTTGTTCTCTTAGATTTTCTTCAGTTTTTTAAATTCTTTTGCTTTTTTTTTGGTCTGCCTGTGTTATTTTGTAAAGACTGAGACTTGAAGATCAGAAATTCTTTTGTCTGCTTCTTCTAGCCTGCTGCTTAAACTCTAAGTTGTTTTTTTTTATTTTGTTGAATAAATCCTTCAGTTGCAGAAGTTCTGGTATATTCTTTTTTAAAGCATTAATCTCTTTGTAAATTTCCTCCTTCGTATGCTGATATTTTTTTCTCATTTCATTATGTTGTCTAACTGAGTCTTTTCATATCTCATTGAGTTTCCTTATTGTTGTTGCTCAGAATTTCTTTTCATTCATTTCAAGGGTTTCCTGCTCTATGGGGTCTGGTACTTGGGAATTACTGTATTCCTTTGGTGGTGTCATATTTTCTTTCTTTCTTTCTTTTTTTTTTTTTTTGTATTTCTACTATCTCTACATTGATGCCTGGTCATCCAATAGAACAGTTGCTCTTCTATTACTCTGGAGTGGGCTTTGAGAAGACAGACATCCTCTTCTTTTTCCAGTCTCTGCTGGTGACTCTCCTTTTGTCAGTGCAGTCAAGTGGGTGGTGGGCTCCCTGCACAGTGGCTGTGGCTGCTGCTGTGGCTGATTCTGTGGTGGCAAGACTAGCCACCCTTGTGGTGGCAGTGGCTGTGGTGGACCACCTGCATGGAAGTGGTGTTTTCCATGTGCTCCTGCCTTTTGTTGGGCACTAGGGGCGTCCATGGCTCCCGCCTAGAACTCTGTGCATGTTCCTGCCTTCTGCTGGGTGGTGCGGGCTGCTCACAGCTCCTGCCTAAGACCCCATGCATGCTCCTGTCCACCAGGTGGTGGGGGCTGTCTGCAGATCCCACCTACAATGCCCTGCATGCATCTGCCTTCTGCTGGGCAGTGGGGGCTTCCTGTGGCTCCCATCTATGACCCCTGGGCACCTGAGCACAACTAGGTGTGCTCTTTCCTTCTGCTGGGTGGTGGGGGCTGCCCATGGCCAGTAACTTAAAAAATCTTAAATCTTTTCAGGATACATTGAAAATGGATACGTGAAACTCATTGTTATAAATTTTAAAAATAACAGAGAACACCTACCTCTCGTTGGAAAAGTTGGCCTGTCTTGGAGAACTAATATTTTTGATGGCTATGTAAAGGTAAAAAACAGTTGTTTTCTTTTCTTCAAGTAACCTGGTTTCTGTATAATAAAAAAATGTCTTTAATATATGTATGCCATGCTTCTTTTAAAGCCTTGGACTTGTTATTCTGGTTTCTGAAGATTTGTGCTCATTCTCTTAGCCAGTGAAAATCAATTCATTCATCAAATGCATATTGAATACCTTCTGTTTCCACTGAGTGTGGTGGAGTAGGAGTGGTAGATCATCTGTAGCGGTGTTTCTCAACAGTGTTGATTACACCACTCTACTCCCTCTAAGCCCTTCTGTCTGTCTTGTGCAGAGAGAGTGAAGCTGAAGGTTGGACCAGGCAAGCACATTTACTAAAAACATCTTAATCATTCATATACCAATTAAAAATTTGTTGCAGTTATAAGTTCTTGTTTTAGGATACAGGTATTTCCTTGAGCAGTTAAATTAAAAACTAGTCCCATGGATGGGGAGACTTGATTTAGTGGTTGGGAATTGGCAGGGAAGAAGGAAGAAGGAGGAAGAGGGGAGATGTTTTCACATAGTTTCATTTTCTTCTGTGCTTCTCCTACCCATGGCTGCTGCTGGATCTCATTACTGTATATCTTTACTTTGTGGGATGAATAGGATTTTCATAGTCACAGGAACCAGTGGGATCGGTCCCTTGTGACTGCAGAGGGCCTCCTGTGACATGGCTTTATTCTGCCCTGTGTGTATGGATGTCTTGTTAGAACTATTCGCTGTGATGACTGAGACAAAGGGCAGTGATGTCATGGGACATCATCTCTTGAGCCACCTGGTATTTGATGCAATGAGACATTTTACAAGTCCTGTTTATTTGTAAGCAAATGTTTAACCTTTGGTAAAAGTGATATTTATCACACACAAAAGAACATGTTTCATATCTTTAAGAGCCCAGAGCTGACTTAATTTTTCCTTGATGGATTTAGGTGGGGCTTATAATAAAACTATGTACTAAAATAAAATATTAATATCAAAATAGACTTTGAGCACCAAAAAGGCAGATTATAAATATAACAAACTTAAAGGGTCAGCATAAATTTTTAAAAATGCTTTTATTTGTTCTATGTTTTCTGGTAGTTTAGAGCAAGATGAAAGCAGTCATTTAGTTCTCATTGTTGGGAAAAGGGAAGTGTAGTAATTATACAAAGAAACAAAGCCATCTCCCAGCTCTAACCATTAAAAATAAAATCTCCAATGGGACTTTTTATAGGGCAGACTAAGCTAAATATAATAGACCAATCCTAAATATCATTTTAGCAACAATTGCACTGACAGATTTCTTATAACAATTCTTATAGAAGCTGAGGTTGTAGCTTCAAAATTGGACCGTTAAATGAACTCCAAGTGGTGATTCTATAGATTGCTAAACCAGTGTGTCTCAGATACACAGGCTTCTATCAAAACAGTTTGATCTGGAAACAGGATTTTGAGTCCTTAAAGTAGCGAATGGATTGCAATCTGCAAATATTCCAATATCTGAAAAAAGTCCAAAATCCAAAACACTTCTGGTCCCAAGCATTTCAGATAAGAGATCCTCAACCTGTAAAATACTCTTATGATCTTTCTTCTCTCAGTTCTTATCAGAATTTCTGATAGATGGATTTTCTTTTGTTAAGGCTTTTCCTGCACGTGTTCCTTTTACTTTTTTCTTTCATGCCTTGGCATTTTTTGATATTATCTTAATATTACTTCTAAATCTATATAGAGCTTGGCATCTACTTTAAGCTAGATATTTTAGTATAGCTCTGTGGTTCTGCTTTATGCAAGAGTTGAGTCCAGTAGAGCCTGCTGTGGACGTGTCATGGGTCAACATGTGGTCGTGGCTGTGCCCCACAAAAAAGGCACTTTGGATACTTTGCTGCCAAGTGATGCAGCTCCACGGATGATTATAAAGTTGCTGATACCAAACCCAGACACCTTTGAAAGAACAGTACATTCCCCTCATGTGCAGGCGCTGCAGCCTTCCCAGACACTGAATTTTGAACCTGACTCAGTTACTGGTAGATGGAGGTGCAGGGAAGGAAGGCCAACTTACTCCTGTAGGGAAGGTGAGTTCTGCTGCCTGCTCAGCTGTGCATTTTCTAGACACTTAGGTATTAGAGACTGAATTAGGAAAGGATAACCAGAAACACAACTCTCCTGGGAAGGACGGAAAGGTTACTGGGAGGAAGGTTTGAGAGAGGTTCTAAGATACATCTCCACTTCCCCCAGAAGTATGGAAGTGATTTATTATGGAGAAGGAAACCAATGGAAAAGGAGATGCCTCAGACAGGATGGGAAATAAGGAGCAAGGTTCTAGAAATAAGGAGGAGAGGGCCTGTGCCCCCTGCACCACAGGGGTTGGGGGTGAGCACAGGTAGGTAAGACTGTAGCCTGCAGATCCAATAGCCTGCAGACCCAGTCACACTTGGCTCCAAATGGCCAGCACTGTCAGCCACATTTAATTAGTTACAACTTCAGAAAGCAGTGGTATATAGTTATTCAGTTTATAGTACAGGGCACCAGTCATGGCAAATAGTAAGCCGTATCTCAGAGAGTGTTAGGAGATTTCATCTTTGACGCTACCTTTTGGCTCCTTTAAACTGCTTAGGTTAGTGTCTTTTACACAGAACATGTTAAAAAGTTACCTCACATTGTACACCTATGTTCGCAGAGACATTATCCATAATAGCCAAAAGGTGGGAGAAACCCAAGTGTCCACTGACAGCAATGGATAAACAAACTATTACCTACATACAATAGAATAATATTATTCAGCCTTAAAAAGGAAAGAAATTTTGACACATGCTACAATATGGAAGAACTTCGAGGACACTATGCTAAGTGAAATAAGCCAGTCACAAAAGGACAAATACTGTATGACTCCACTTATGCGAGATTCCTTGAGTAGCCAAACTCATACAGAAAGTAGAAGGTGGATGCCAGGGACTGGGGGAGGGGGAGCGGGGAGTTAGTGTTTAAGGACCACAGAGTTTCAGTTTTGCAATATGAAAAGGGTTCTAGAGACAGATTGTGGTGATGGTCATATGGCAGTGTCAGTGTGCTTAATTCCACTGAACTGTACACTTCAAAAAATGGTTAAGGTTCTATGTTTATTTTGCCATAATTTTCAAAGTAAATTTAAAAATATGTTTTGAGGATACTTCAAAAAGTTTGTGGAGAGTGGAACTAAAAGATAATACAGATTTTTTCATGAACTTTTAAAAGTATCCTCAGATAGCTTATTAATAATATTAGTAAATATCAGTATCTCCAAGTGTGATTTCTCCCCTGACTCAGGTCCCCATGTAGATATATCTATTCCTCTGATGGAGTCAGATGCTTGGGTGTCCTGTAGACATTTTAGATTTAGCATATCTAAACATACATATTCCTTCTTTTCCAAATCATCATCTTGTGTGATGAAAAATAGATTAAGAGATTAAACTTGCCTTCTCTCTTACTCTCCCTTCGGATATAAGATTCTGCTCAGTTTATCTAGTCAATATTTCTTCCATCTCTCCTTCCCTGTTGCTTACTTACTTCCTCTGATAGTTCAGGCTTCCTACCATCTCTCGTTAGTGTGTAACTGCAGCTGATAGCTCTGTTTCTGTTCCTGCTGCCTGCCCCCTTGCACTGCACCTGTTCATTTATTTTGTGTGTATTTATCAAGCACTGGTCATGCTGTGCTGGTGCTGGAGGTGTGCTGAGGAGCCATGCTGTCAGGACCAGCCCCTCACCCTGGCTGCGCTGCCTCACCTGCTTTCGGGCTCTGGCATAGGCTGTTCCCTTTTTCCCCTCCTGTTTCACTTAACTCTTGTTCATCTTTAATGACTAAGCTTTGTTTGTCATCCCTTTATTTATTCATCTGTAAATATTTATCAGTTATACTAAGTGCTAGACTGAGTTCGGTGCTGGAGAAATGTGGGGCAAGTCCCCCTACCCCACCCACACAAAAAATCCACACACACAAAATGGGGTGTCTGCCCACTGAGCTTATGGCCATTTGAGAGGGGCGTGTTGGGGAGACTTCCCCAAAGAACTTATACTTGGTTTGGGTTCTTAATGCTGAGCTAGACAAGGGGGAAGGGGGAGAGGGGAGCTCTCATGCAGCGGGAGCCCAAACGGCCCTGGTCAGGGGTCTGTGGCATGTTCAAGGAAAAGAAGGAAGGCTGTGTGGCTGGAGCACGGGTGGCAAGGGGAGTGTCCAGCTAGGTGGAAGCCCGGCTGGGCAAAGCCTTTCATGCATCAGGAAGGAATCTGGTGCTGTTGTGGAGACCAGTGGGGAGCTGTCATAGGGTTTTCAGCTGTGTGTGCCATGGTCAGACTTGCATCATGTCAAGATTTGTCTTGTAAATGTGTAGAATGGATGAAAATGAATGGGAGGAGACCAGTTTGATGGTGGCTGTGATTCCTTAGAGAGAGACTGGCAACTCGGTGTCTTAGTCCCTTTGGACTGCTATAACAAAAAGCCATAAGCTGGGTAGTTTTTAAACAATAGAGATTTATTTCTCACAGTTCTGGAAGCTGGGGAGTTCAAGATCAAGCCACCAGAAGATTTGATGTGTTGTAGGCCCACTTCCTACTTCATAGAAGGAACCATCTAGATGTGTCCTCACATGGTAGAAAGGGTGAGCCAATTCCCTGGGGCCTCTTTTTTTTTTTTTTGACTGGTAAGGGGATCACAACCCCCAGCATGGTGTGGTCTGCACCATGCTCAGCCAGTGAGTACACAGACCATCCCTATAAAGGATCCGAACCTGCGGCCTTGGCGCTACCAGTGCCACACTCTCCAGAGTGAGCCACGGGGCCGGCCCTCTGGGGCCTCTTTTATAAGGGCACTAGTCCTGTTCATGAGGGCTCTGCCTCCATGATCTAATAATCACCTTTCAAAGGTCCCACCTCTTAGTACCATCACCTTGGTGATTAGGTTTCAACATACAGATTTTGGGAGGACACAATCAGAACATAGCACTTGGACTGGGGCCGTGGCAGTGAAAATGGAGAAAGGTGAATCTATTTGAGGCAAAAACTTAGAGGATTTGGTGATGGGCTGCGTGGGGAGGGTGAGGGGCATTGCACAACTGGAGAGTCAGTGATGTTCCACCATTCCCTGGGACAAAGAGTTCTGGCAGATTGTTACTGAGGCCATAATAAGCTTGCGCATAGTCATGCTGAATTTGAATGACCCTTGAAACATGCAGGATGTTTAGGTCTTGAGCTTAGAAAAGAGGTTCAGCCTGGAGATACACATTTGGGGATCATGGGCACATTGGTTTTAAGTTGTGGATATGGGTGACTTCCATTTAGGGGGAGGGACTATGTATATAGAAAATAGGGGTAAGGCCAGGCTGTGAGGAAGCCCAACAGTGGGGACTGGGAGAAAGCTGTGGAATGGTGGGTTCCTGGAAGCACTTGGGAAGATAGTTTTCAAGAATAGAGTAATAAATAATGCTAAATTCTGCTGAGAGAAAACTAATGAATATTTACAAGATTTAGTGGTCTTATCAAGACTACCACCATTTTGGTGGAACGACGAGGAGGAACACCAGGTCAGAATCGGCTGAGGAGTGAGTGGGAGTCAAGGCAAGGGACACGTCAAATGGAGATGGCTCTTTGGAGAGGTCTGTCTGTAAGGGCAGAAAGGAGTGAGGGGACCAGGGGTGTCTCAGGGAGGGTCTCTGTGTCTGTGTCCCTCTAAGATGGGAGTTTCTTGAACATGTTTAAAGGTTAGAGCTGATGGGGAGATGGAGCATATCTACGTGAGAGAATGTGGTTGCATCTTTGAGAGATGAGCGTATTGCGAGGCTGCTGGGCCCTGTTAGAGAGATCAGCATGGAGACAGACACATGGAGATGGAGGAGAAGACTGCTGGGCCCTGTTAGAGAGATCAGCATGGAGACAGACACATGGAGATGGAGGGGAAGTCTGCTGGGCCCTGCCTGAGAGGGCAGCATGGGGACAGATACACGCAGGTGGAGGGGAAGGCTGCTGGGCCCTGCCAGAGAGGATGGCATGGGGACAGACACGCAGATGGAGGGGAAGGTGGAGCAGAGCTGGCAGGTCTGTGTGTTTGGTGTTGGAGTGAAGAGTGAGGTCATCTGCAAAGGGCACCCTAGAGCAGGACACAGAGGGCCAAGGCAGGGGAAAGGTTTGGAGAGCTGTTCCGTGAGGAGGAGAGTGAGCCACCCCAAGAGACAGGAAGGTCCCACCAGGTGACACTGCGGATGGTTGGGATGCACAGCAGAGCCTGTTCCCTCTGCTTGTGACTGCAGCAGTGCCTGGGTGCTGAAGTCCAGACATAGAGAAAATCATAGAGGAGCAGATCATTGGAGTCAAACAGCTCAGGAATTGAGAGCCCAGGGCATAGGTTCTAGGATGATAGTGAGATTTGAGTATGTGAGAGAAGGATGAAAGAGATGCACAGACAGACACAGAGAAGAGCTGGTGCCAACATCATGGAAACAGGTGGGGGTGGCACAGACAAGGATGGATCCAGGGTGCAGAGCTGAAAATTCCAAACCTCAAAGAAGCAGGAGTTTTTATGAAAGGGTGGAAAGTGACCATCCATGAGTGCCCACAAGAAATCAGGGGGATGTTGTGCTTCCCAGGGGGATGTGGCACCTCCCTGGAAGCACTGAACCCAGTCCTCTGTGTAACTTGTGTAATGTCTACTGCCTCTAGACTCTAAGTTCCATGAGGATAGGGTTCCAGTGCTGAATACTGACAACCCTGCCGGCACTTGTGTCTGTGTTTGACTGACTATGAATTTTCATGGGTTGAATTGTGTCCCTCAAAGCTTAATATTAATCCCCACTGTAACAGTATTGAGGGTGAGGAATCCCATTATGGTAATTGAAAGGTAGGGCCCTTAAGAGGTGATTAGATTGTGAGGACTGTGCCTTTGTGAATGGATTCATCCGTTCATGGAGTAATAAGTTGATGGTTTAATGGGTGGTCACGGGAGTGGTTCTGATGGCTTTATGAGAGTGAGTGAGCAGGATAGCTCCCTCTTGTTTAGTTCATTCTCCATGGTACACCCTGCATCCCTGTGGAGAGTCACCACCCACATGAAGGCCCTCACCAGAGAGCCTCTCTGGACTGTGGGCTTCCCAGTCTCTAAACCGTAAGAAATAAATTTTATTTCTTTATAAATTTCCCAGTGTCAGGTGTTTTGTTATAAGCCACTCAGACTATTAAGTGATAAGACGTGAGATACTCATTCTAGTCTAGAATATAAAATAGACGATGAAATACCAATGATAGTGCTCTGACTTTTGATGCCACATGCAGCATTTCCAATCAATTTTATACAGTCACAATTTTCTGTGAAAATCAGGTCTAGTTGGCCATTTTATCCTTACTCGTATAAATCTTTGTGTTTATTTTGTAGAGTTGTTCTATAATGGATGTAACTCTTTTGGAAGAATGTGGGAAACCCTTTTGGTGTTTCAGTTCTCCAGTTTGCATGAGATCTGCTACCATACCCTCTTACGGTTCTAATTTCTTGGGACAGACATACTATGTGGACTACAAGGACGCAGAAGGAAAGGTGCACATGGAGCTAGTGTGGATTGAAAAGACTGAAGAGTACTTCATTGTCGATTTCTTGGGACAGACATACTATGTGGACTACAAGGACACAGAAGGAAAGGTGCACATGGAGCTAGTGTGGATTGAAAAGACTGAAGAGTACTTCATTGTCAGCCTAGTCCTTTACCTTAGTGTAGCAAAAATAAACCACTGGTTTGGGACAGAATACTAAATAGTAGTAGTAGGTGTCAAATTATTGTTGCTATTTAACTGTTTCCTTTTGAGTAACCGCTTTGTTTTTGGTGCTGGCAGTTAAAATAAAGTATATCTGAAGTAGTCTGTCTGGTGACTTATTTCAAATTAGAAATTATGATTTGTGGGTTATTTTTAATGTGTAAAGGGTTAAGTTTTAAAAATATAATAGTGGCACAGCCCAATGAAAACTTATATAAAGTAATAAAAACAAGATATTTACTTCTCTTCTGCCCTTAGTTAAAAAAACAAGATAGGCTACTTAAGCATGTTATCACTGTGTGTGTGGGGGGTGGGGGGGCGGGCAGGGGGGCATGTGTGTGCTGTATAGATAAGGATTTTTTTTTTTCTGGATTGGTAAGAAGCCCGATAAGAAATGTACTTAAATGTGAACTTTATGGTATCCATTAGAATTAAAGTACTATATTCATGATGTTCAGCAGCCATATTACTATTTAATAAGACAGTGAAATAGACCAGTGGCCTAATTCATGAGGAAAGGTGTATCTGAAGTCATCAGAGGGCAATCATTATAACTTGAAAGAAGGAGGCATGGTCCAGATGCAACGACGGCATCCAACTGTGTGTCAGTGGGATAGAGGTGGATGAGTTACCGAACCCTTCCTCTGAGGAAATATTTGAGAATTGACAGATGCTTGGGGTTCAAATAGGGGCAACACGTGTCTGAGCATATATTGTTTTAACTATTTGTTGAATCAGTGGGAACCATTACAAGGTGTACACCAGCACCTATCAGAGCATGAGGGGGCAGGGCTACCTTCTGACTTGGATGAGTCTGGGAGTCCTATGCGTCACAGGTCAGTTTGAGTTCACCTTTGAGGGCAAGCTTGTCAGGCAGTGAGGGGAAGGGTGAGCGGGGCGGAGGAAACAACCCTCACAAAGCCACGGCGTATGTGACTCACCAGAGCAAGCGTGCATGCTGCAGGTAACCCGCTGATGTGACAAGACTGGCTGCTGCCCCACTGCCTTCGCATGTGTCTGGGATCATGTTCAGCTTTACGAGCTGTTCCTTCTCATGTTCACCTCTGTATTTCTAAGTACATCTACACATATCAAGTCTATGAATTCTACATTTTTTTCTCCCAGGGTGTTTCCTTCCTGTAGTGTCCTGCCTCTGGTTGCTTGAAATGGCTGTTCTCTGGCCTTTCTGGATGGCCATTGCCATGCAGATCCTCTGTTGTGTGGAACCCTGTGTTCCCCTTTCATGGTTCACATCCTTTCTTCAGTGGTACACATTCTCCTGTGGCTTTCTGAGAAAGGGGACATGGGAGGTATGTTTTGAATTCATGAGTTCCTTCAGTTCCAGCACAGCACTGCACGGTCATTCGTTTTCTTCCTTTGCGTAGTGTAGATCCCACTCTGCCTCCCTCCCACTGTCCTGAACCTGTGTCCTGTGGGGCCATTGTGGACACCCCTCTCCTGAAGATGCCTCTTTTCCTCCCATGGGCTCTGACATGCTGGATGCTCAGCCACGAGGAGACCCTCTCAGCCAACACCTGCCTTGGTGCTCCTGCTCCCACATGTGAAGCCTCCTCACCCACTCAGGCCTGGAAACATCACATAGGCCACTGGTTTATAGGATTTAAAGATTCTTTTGATACGCACAACAGACACTCAGATAGATGAGAGGCAGAACTTTTGTTTACTTACAGCTCTGCATGAGAGAAGGCCACCAGGTGGGACCACATGGAGGCTGCTTGGGGGACAGGGCACCAGCAAGCAGGAGCTGTGGGAGTAACTTATGTCTGGCAGGCGGGTGGGGCTAGTAAGGTTTCCCATTCCCTGAGGGTTGGCTAATTGGTATAGTTCTGTGGGCTCCCAGGCATAGGGTCTGTTCCTAGTTGTCTGGTACCTGGTCCCAGGGCCATGAGGGCTGCTGCTTAGCAGAACCCTAGAAGAAGAGGCCAATAAGGGAAGTGGTCGGGTTGTGGACTTAACCAGCTGCTCATGAAGGGAACTGACCAGCCACTATCCTCAAAATGGGGTCAAGACAGCATTAAAAAAAACACCCACTCTGTGTAGACTTTCTCACCACACTCCATGGGCCCTGCCTCCCATGCCACACTGCTCACCCACCTGGGCCTTTGGGATCTTCCAACCCCACCAGTGGCAGGTGCTGCCTTGCTCTGCCCCACTCATGGCTTTAGGAATCAACAGTGAGGGAAGGGGAGACATTTCTCAAGGATTAAAAATTCTATATACTAGTGTGTCATATATGTTCACAAAGTATGCCCAATATAAATAGCCCTTTTGGGGGGACTGGCCATCTTAATATTGTATGTATTGAAATTAAGTTGTCAGACACATGAAATAACAGCATTTTCTAATCATACTCCATTGTCAGAAAGTCTCGTGTGTGCAAAACGAGGGGAATTATTAAGCTGGAGTATCTTAACTACAAAGAATCTTGCAGCAGGGTTTATTGAGTCAAATCAATTCAAGACAAGTAACAGGTGCAAACTCCAATTATGCAGTTGGCAAAGAAAACAAGTTTGAGTTACAAAAAGCACACCTACCACTAGTGTAAAATAAAATGGACATATTTTCATTTCAAGTGTACTCCAGATGGCAAAATCTTGTCTTATTAAAATCAGGTCAAAAATCTAAACAGCCTTTACAAAGATGATTTTTATATGTAACTTGGTAGTTGTCCCTTATTTTCATTAACATCCACTTGTAAGTCTAATGATTATAACTACTTAAGAATAAAAAGTTCACACAGAAAAATCTATGTAAATGTTTTCCCAGTGATGTGAGGAAATCATACCTTTAACAAACTGGTTGTAAAAGTGCTGGTCTTAGCACCAGTGTACATTTTGTATGTGGAGTAATATGGCATCCACCTTCAGCCTAGGGAGAGGCTCTTGTGGTCCCTTGTGGCTTCCAGAAATAACACCTGGATTTCCTGTGAGCTACAGTAAACACGGACCCGATCACTGCCAGACAAGTCCCCTGCTGCAGAACCACTGGGGCTGGAGGACATGCTCGCTGAGCACAGCCCAGGAGGATTACACACACAGGGCAAGAAAAGGTGACAGGGGGATAACCACAGAAACGAGAGCTGCTGTGGAACAGCATCCTAACAGAGCGGCTGGGGGCAGACCTCACATGTCCATCAGGCTGCTGGGGAAGATGGGGAGGAAGAGGCTGGCCTGTGGGCAAAAGTGGTCAAAGGCACAGCTAGAGAGAGCAGCAGGCTCTGCTCTCGGCCAACGGAAGAAACGAGAGCATGCAGGCAGGGACTGAGCCCGCATGCCCATCGCTGCTGCTGCACACAACATCGCAGTTGTCAGTTTTGTGCCTGAAAGTCATGTGCGGAGGCGATGCACGCTCTGAGACCTGGTACAAGTTGGGGATTTGCCTGTGGAACATTGGATTTTAGATCTCACTGAACAGTGAGCCGCAGGTCCTCAGCCCAGAGAGAGGGCCTTTGTGTGACCCCTCACTTTATCTTCTGGCCTCTTGGTGATGATCTAAACAAACTCAGGGAATTGCCCAGAAGCAAATGTATGTCTGCTGGTTGACATACAGTCATAGGATCTAGTCACAGTGAAGTGGGTATGCAAAACACATCCATTCATATGTGTCTAATTCAGAAAAGTGATCACAGACTCAAGATGAAACACTTGTGATTTCTCACTGACATTGTTGGGGAGAAAGTGAAAAATTCATCGTGAAGTAGAATAGTAGCTTTTGTTTTTAAAAGTTGGGAGCTTATCGTGTGCCAGGCAGTAGGCAACAAACTTTACATATATCTTTTACAATCCTTCAATAACTCTATGGGCAGATGGTATAACAATGACTTTTACAATGAGGAGCTGGGCTCAGAGAAGTTAAATAACCAGAGGTGCACATGTGGTAATAGAGCTAGGATGGGTTGGCTTCTAAAGTCCAGGCCCTAACTGTACCACTTCACGTGCACCCCAGTGGTAGGATGTGGGAGATCCATAATGTGTTCATAATAACATCGAACACACAAGGAAATGTAATTGCGTAGGTATTTAGCCAACTGTAAATAAACGTACGGCAATAAAGGTAATTCTGCTTAACCAGAATAAAACTGTTAAAAGAACTATGTCTTCAGTCAATGAAATTGGTATATACTTACCCAAAACTGAGAATAACCAAGTCACTTTGAAGAAGCACAAGATGGCAGGGCTTGCTCTACTGCACGGGAAGACTTTTTATAATACTACAGGAAATGAGAGTGCCTTTTGGTGCAAGAAAAGAGTAGACATATGGAGCGTAATCCAGAGCTCAGAAACAGACACAGACAGTTGTATCATGATGAAGGTGGCATCGCTGAGCAGTGGGAGAAGAATAGACAATGCTGGGACAATGGCATCTGAAGGAAAGAAAAGTGGGCGGCTTCATTTCATGCCCAGAAACACATCTCAGGTAGATTATAGACCTAAATGTGAGAAAGCAAAGTGAAAAGGCTTCTGGAAGGCAATATAGGCCTCCTATCACCCAGTAGCAAAATGACAAACAACCCAATTAAAAAATGGGTGAAGTACTTGAATAGACAATTCTCCGAAGAAGACATACAAATAACCAATAGGTTCATAGAAAGATGCTCAACATCAGTAGTCATGAGGGGAATGCAAATCAAAGCCTCAAGGAGATACCACCTCACACCTATTAGGATGGCTATTCTCAAAAGAATAAAAGGCAAGTGTTGGTGAGGCTGTGGAGGAAGTGGAGCCGTTATACACTGTTGGCCCTGTGCACATGTACACTCTTTGGCTCTGTGGGAATGTAAAATGGAGCAGCTGCTATGAAAAACAGTCTGGAGGTTCCTAAAAAAATAAGCAAAACTACCGTACCATCCAGCAATCCCCCTACTGGGTATATATCCAAAGGAAATAAAATCAGTATATTGAAGAGATATCGGCACCCCCATGTTTATTGCAGCGCTATTCACAATAGCCAAGATATAGAATCAACCTAAGTATCCATCTGTGGGTGAATGGATAAAAAAAATGTGGTATAGTGGAATACTATTGGGCCTTAAAAATAAGGAAATCCTGCCATTTGCAACAACATGTATAAACCTGGAGGAC